GGCCCAAAAGTCTAAAATCCTTTTCTCCACTTGCATATTTTCCAACTTGTTCCCAAGTCCCAACGTTTACCTGTCAGCCTTTTAATTTTAGGTACAATATGGTGATACCACTTAAAATCTCAAATTCTATTTTTTTCTCCAGATTGCATCAATTTAGTAAACTCTACTGTATATTCTACGATATTTGCATTTTTTATCCTCAAACCCTCTGATTGAAGAAGACCAACTTCTAGATGAGCCGGTATAATTTCTCAATCCCTATAAATTTTTCTTCACTATATGCAGGATGTTTTGTTAAATTATCTCTGGGAGTCATGTGAAGATGAGGAATATCTTATATGCAGGTTTTTAAAGTTTTAACTATACTGTTGAAAAATTTTGTGTAAGGATTGAAGTACACTCAAACCCATTAACAAAAAAACTGCTTTGCTGTTAAGAGAATATATGCTTTGATAACTTTATCACGAATTTATTAAACTTTAGCATATAGTATATTATTTTCTTTTTTTTTGAACATAGTATATTATTTTCTTTGAATTATAATAGTTGAAAATAAATTATGAAACACATATTTTTAAAAGTATTATATAATAATAAAAAACACTCTCCAACTGTAACCCTTGACGCGCCCAAATAGTAGCATTTTGGTTATTAAAAGTAAAAGGCAATTTATTTTTTAAAAAAATGTTAAAACTTTATTTTCATTCTTTTACTTTAATAAAATTTTTTAATTACTTTACTTTAAAAAGTTTCTTTTTAGTCTTTAAAATTTATTTTTTAACCTCTTCTTTAGTCTCTCTATTATTTTTATGTATGCATAGCATATTAAATAATAAAAATTTTAAAATTAAAAGATTAAAAAATTATTTTTAAGTAAAGAGATTAAAAAAATCTTTTATTAGTTCTCTTTTTACTCCTGTACCTTAAAATTTTTATTGTTTAGTATGTCACATATATAAGAAAGATAACAAAAAGGTTAAAAAAATCAAATAATAAACTTTAAAAAATAAAAAATAATAATTAAATAGAATTTTTATTTAAATAAAAGAATCAAAATAGGATAAAAATAAAGTAAAGCAATTGGAATATGGTTCAGATTAATCATGTGGATGGAAGGTGGTAAAAGGAATTATGACCGGGTCTAACAATCCGGCGAGGCCAATTGGCGGCCCACTGATTGATACATGGGAAGACTGAAGAGAGGGTGAATTATTGCCACGACCCATAATGCAGCGGGAGCAATTGCGGGCCCAGTTATTGTTGTACC